CATATATATATATATACATATATATATATCCCACACGTATCTAGGAATTTAGCTTCCCCTTCCCTCCTATTACCAGGGATAGGTAACCAACAAAGTTTCCTTTCATGTATAACTTTTCCTTGACTTTTTACAATAGTGAACTAATACAGTATTGTCCTTCTGGATTGACTTATTTCACTCTAATGTCCTCCAAGTTCACCCACATTATGTAGTGTTTTGCAGATTCTGCATTATTCTTTAGGGTTGCATAGTATTCCATTCTGTGTATGTACCACAGTTTCTTTATCCATTTCTTTGTTGTTGGGTACTTAGATTGTTTCCATCTCTTTGCTATTGTGAATAATGCCTCAGCGAGCATGGTGTGCATATCTGTTCGTGTCCTGCCTCTCACTTCTTTAGAATGCATGCCTAGTAACGGGATTGCTAGATCAAATGGTATTTCTATTTCCAGATTTTTAAGGAATCACCATACTGATTTCCACAGTGGTTCTATCATTTTACAGTCTCACCAGCAATGTAGGTTTCCAATCTCTTCACATCCTTACCAGCATTTGTTTTTTTGTGTCTTGTTGAACTTTGCTATCAATGCTGGGGTGAGATGGTATCTCATTGTTGTTTTGACATGAATCTCTCTAATGGCTAATGATCACGAACATTCTTCATGTATTTGTTGGCTGCCTGAATATTTTCTTTGGTGAAATGTCTGTCCATATCTTCTGCCTATTTTTTAATTGAATTGTTTGTCCTTTTGATATTGAGGTGTTGGAGTTTTCTATAAATTTTAGAGATAAGTCCTTTGTCTGATATGTCATTGCCAAATATTTTTCCCCAATCTGTATGTTGTCTTTTTACTCTTTTGGAGAAGTCTTTTGATGCACATAAGAATTTAATTTTCAGAAGGTCCCAATCCTCTAGTTTATCTTCTGCTGTTTGTGCATCTTGGGTTATGCTTAATAGTCTATTTATGCCATAAATCAGGGCCCCTAAGTTTGCCCCTATTTTTTCTTTGCTGACCATTATAGTTTTAGGTTTCACATTTAAGTGGTTGATCCATCTGGAGTTCGTTTTTGTGTATGGTGTGAGGTATGGTTCTTGTTTCATTTTTCTGCAAATAGATATCCATTTTTTCCAGCACCATTTGTGAAAGAGACCCTCTCTTCCCTGTTGAATGGATTTTGACCCTTTGTCAAAGATCAGTTGACCATTGGTTGATGGATCTATTTCTGGGTTCTCAAGTCTACTCCACTGATCTATGTGTCTGTTGACATACCAATACCAGGTTGTTGTATTTTTTTTTTTTGGCAGTGTTCCCTCCCCTCCCCTTCAATCCCTGGCCAGTACCAGGCTGTTCTGACAACTGTGATTCTGTAGTAGGTTTTGAGATCTGGGAGTGTGAGACCTTCTACTTTGTTCTTCTTCAGTAGTGCTTTGCTTATCTGATGTCGCTTTCCTTTCCATATAAAATTAGTGATTGTTTTTTCCATGTCTTTACAGAATTTTGATGGAATCTGGATTGGAATTGCACTGAATCTATAGATTGCTTTGTGTAGTATTGACATTTTTCCAATGCTTAGGCTTCCTATCCATGAGCATGATATGTTCTTCCATTTATGTAGATCTCTTATAGTTTCTTGAGGTAGTGTTTTGTAGTTATCATTGTATAGGTCTTTTGTGTTCCTGGTAAGATTTATTCCCAAAGGCATTTGACTGCTAACCAGAAGGCTGTTAGTTCAAACCCACCAGCCACTCCTCGGAAGGAAGGTTGGGCAATCTACTTCCATAGTGATACCGCCTTGGAAACCCAAGAAGGGGTCACGATGAGTCGGATCCGACTCCACAGCAGTGAGTTTTTTGGTCTTGTCTTTTTGGTAGCTATTGTAAATGGTATTGATTTCCTTTTCAGGGACTTTTTTTGCTGATGTATAGGAATCCAACCGATTTTTGTATGTTGTTCTTGTATCCTGCCACTCTGCTAAATCAATCTTTAAATAAGTTCCATTAGTTTTCTTGCTGAGTCTCTTGGATTTTCTATATATAGGATCATATCGTCTGCAAATAGGGATAGTTTTATTTCTTCCTTACTAATTTGGATGACTTTGATTTCTCTTTCTTGTCTTATTGCCCTGGCTAGGACTCCCAATACAGTGTTGAATAAGAATGGTAATAGAGGGTATTCTTGTCTGGTTCCTCTTCATAAGGGGAATGATTTCAGTCTCTCTCCATTGAGATTAATGTTGGCTATTGAGTTTGCATATATGCCCTGTATTATGTTGAAGAATTTCCTTTCTATTCCTATTTTGCTGAGAGTTTTTATCAAGAATAGGTGTTAGATTTTTTCAAATGCCTTTTCTGCATCTATTTTATTTATGTGATGGATTAAATTGGTTGTTTTTCTAATGTTGAACCATTCTTGCTTACCTAGTATGAATCCCACTTGGTCATGATGCATTATTTTTTTGATATGTTGTCAGAGTCTGTTGGCTAGGATTTTGTTGAAGATTTTTATGTCTATATTCATGAGGGATATTGGTCTGTAATTTTCCTTTTCAGTGGTGTCTTTGCCTGGTTTTGGTATCAGGGTTATACTTGCTTCATAAAATGAATTTGGGAGAATTCCGTCCTTTTCTGTGTTCTGAAATAGTTTGAGTAGGATTGGTGTCAGCTCTTCTCTGAATGATTGGTAGAATTCTCCAGTGAAACATTCTGGGCCAGGACTTTTTTTTGTTGGTAATTCTTTTATGATCTGTTCAATTTCTTCTTTTGTTACGAGTCTGTTCAAGTTTTCTACCTCAGTCTATTTTAGTTTAGGTAAGTAGTGTGTTTCTATAAATATCTCCGTTTCTTCTAGGTTTTCAAAGTTGTTGAAATACAGTTCTTCATGGTATCCTGATATTACTTTCTTTTATTTCTGTTGCTTCTGTTATGACATCAGCCCTTTCATTTCTTATTGGTGTTATTTGCATCTTCGCCTTTTCCTTTGTTAAGTTTTCCAGTGGTTTGTCAATTTTATTAATCTTTTCAAAGAATCAACTTCTAATTTTCTATGTTTTTCTATTTTCTGTTTCATTTATTTCTGCTTGAATCTTTATTATTTCTTTTCTTCTGATGACTATAGCCTTTTTTTGTTGCTCTTTTTCTGATTGTTGGAGATATTGGGTTAAGGTGTTGACTTTGGCTTTTTCTTCTTTTTTGATGTGTGTATCTATTGTTATAAATTGCCCTCTGATCACTGCTTTTGCTGTGTACCAAAGATTTTGATATGTTGTGTTTTCATTCTCATTTGATTCCAGGAATTTTTTATTTCATTTTTTATTACTTCTATTACCCAGTCATTTTTGAGGAGGGTGTTATTCAGTTTCCATGCATTTGCTCTTTTTCCATTGGTCTTCCTAGTATTGATTTCTAATTTTATAGCATTGTGATCTGAGGAGATGCTTTGCAGTATTTCAGTGTTTTTAAATTTATTGAGGCTTGCTTTGTAGCCTAACATATGACTGATCCTGGAGAATGTTCCATATGTGTTGGAAAAGAATGTATATTTTGCTGTTGTTGGGTGAAGTGCTCTATAGATGTCTATAGATCAAGATGGTTGATCGTATTGTTTAGTTCTTCTACATACTTGTTGAGCTTCTTTCAAATTGTTCTATCTTTGATTGAAAGTGGTGTATTAAAGTTTCCTACTATGCCTGTAGAGTCATCTATTTGTCTTTTCAATTCTGTT